GGGGGGAGGGGGGAGTGAATTTGTTCTGTTGTCGTAAGTTGAAACGTAGACGTTTCCTGTCGTCAGGTCGTCAAGTTTTCTAAAAAAATCCTCCCATAATCCCACAGTTGTCGGAGTGAGTAGCTACTGACCCGGGAAAAGAAAATATCGAAACACTGAAATATCGTTTCACCAATACCGTATCAATATCCCTCATCCTCCATATTTCAAATATGTCAATACAAGGACCCAGAGCCTGCCCCCTGGTGTTGGTTACTGGGATGAGATTTTGCCGTCTGTGTCACCTCTCCTCCTACTATTAGCCTTAAAATACAAAAAAATACAAAATATTTTCTGTACTTCGCTGACAGTTTTACTACAATTACTTTGCTTAAAAAAAAAACCTCGATATATTGTCGCGCTTATCGTATTGCAATATCGTATCGTTGCCTCGTATCGTATCTTGCCGACACGCACTCCTACTAGCAACCTGTCTGTGAAGGTTCTCAGCCCCGAAGTTTTTCAGTCCTTCGGCCTAAAGGTTGTCGGTTCAGTGTCCGCTGTTCAGGAAGTTAACGTTATCGTACAAATGATTTTTGTCCCGATCAGAACGACAAACGCGGTTCTGGTCACTTCCTGTTTATCCCTCAGTGACGGTTCCTAACCCTCGCCGCTGGAGAAGCCGTGCACGGAGGGCCACTGACGAATCATGCAGGCGGGTCACGTGACTGGACACAACGGATTTCCTCTAACGCAGAGCGCCGCGAGCAGGTCAGCGTAATGAGGTGTATCCTGGGCTCCGAGCCCTGCGTGTGTGTGTGTGTGTGTGTGTGTGTGTGTGTGTGTGTGTGTGTCCACTGCCTTTAATTAGAACTGATTGTGCCTCCCATCAGTCACACACAACAAGAGGAAGTCGATCCGTGCAGTCCACTCCAGCTTTTCCCCACACACAGCAGCTTCAGCTCCACGCCATCACGCCGCGACATGGCTAACGTCACGCTAAAGCGTTAGCAGCGTCTGGCGAGCAGAGTGGATTTTTGATGAAGAGTTGTTGAACCGTCGCACAATATTTTTAACGTGTTGAGGATTAACGTCACAGTTTGGCAGAAAAATACTTCGATTGGCAACGAACTAATCTCTTCGACGAAGTTCTTACGAGAAATTAGTTTCTACTCTACGTAGAGTTTCAGGAATGTCTACATATTTATACGTACTTTTTTTTACTTCAGTGGGACCCTTTTTTTTACCAATCAGGGACTGGGTCTGAAATTGGAGAATTGTCGGTTTGAATCCCTGTGCTAAATACTGGACTGTTTTACAGACGGCTAAAATGCAAAGAGCTTATTTCCCCCCTAGTGGATGAAGGTGGTACTGTCCTTTGGGTTTGTTTGTTTGTTTGTTTTTTACCCTGAAATGTTCTTAAACGACTCCATAATTCCTAATTGGCCTTCCTGTTGCCCCATTCGATGGCTTTATGACCCATCAAGGTGGCCCCGCCCCCCACTTTAAGAACCACTGAGTTAGAGAACAGTTTAAACATGATGTACTGCAGTAGTTTTAGCAGTTAGCGTGTGTTTACAGGGTCAACATGATGTGTTCAGGGACCAGAGCACGAGCAGAACATGACGATGAATCACTCTGTTTGTCTGAGTGGGAGT